TCATACCACCGCCTTCTCCTGCTTTATTATGCCGCTGTTTCAATGAATATACGACCCTTATCCGAGTATTCCAATGGGCACTAGAGTGGTTCTTAACATATCGCCGGCCAGATGACGAAATGTATACGGTAATTTCTCCTTAATTCGCGCTCAGATCGCGCTCAAAAATCGTCAATTTGTGAAGTGGAGACACGATTATTCGAGCCTCGCGGTTCGTTTTTATAGTTGTTATATTATACTATATTATATATATTATATTATAATATAATATAATAATTATATATATAACACTAATAACACTAATAATTATTATAGTATAATATAATATAATATATTANAATTTGGATCGTTTTTATAGTTGTTAAGTATAACACTAATACTTTTTATAGTATAATATAATATAATATATTATATATATTATAATATATATATTATATATATTATAATATATATATATATATATAATACTATATTATATACTACTATAATCGAGTAATAATATATTATATATGTATAATATTAATATAATAATTAATATTAATAATACATATTATAAATGTTATATTATATATATTATACTATATTATATTATATTATACTATATTACATTATATTATATTATATTATACTATAAAAAGTATTAGTGTTATACTTAACAACTATAAAAACGATCCAAATTGTCCATTTTTGTGCGCAATCCGAGCGCGAATCAGGGAGAAATTGCTGTAGTCATTTTCTTGACAGCTCGTGACATGCCGGACGACTAAAAATAGTCATTTTCTCGATTGTTCGTGAGATGCAATTCAAGATAAAAAATCCTATCGTGAAATTTATTCGCGTAATCTAAATAAATCTAAATAAAATCTGAATCTAAATAAATCTATTTAACTGCCTGATATTTTATAGGTTATATCGATGTTTGTAAAACGATGCATCAACCTTAAAATATGCCGGCTACGCGCACAAATTTTCGCATGAACAGCCCGGACCGTGTTGTGTTAACTATGCATAGGCGTCGAAAATATTTTTCGGCATTTTCGTGGTTTCTGACGATGTGAAAAATCGTCAGCTCCGAACGCGTATAACTTTTGAACCAACGGTTTGCGCACCATGGGACTTGAACTTTTTGCGTTCTCTCGACAAAATCTACGGGAATGCCCATAAACGAGCGAAAAATCTCTGGACCCCTAAAGTAGTGATTAGCCAGTATAAATTTACGGCGACAGTGGTCGCGCTCGCGAGGCATAGAATTAAAATAGAAAAGCATTCGCAGTGGGCAGAATTTGTTTCGCCGGTTCGGGACGCGTCGCTATAGAGTAATTGAATAACGAGATGGACATCGATACAGAGGAGGCCGCAGGCCGCAAACGAATTAACCGAAATTTATTTACTGCTGTCGCTGCTGCCGATAAATTTCCGTTCGAATGAAACTCCACCTCCGGTTTTATTACTATTGTGCATCGTGAAAAAAGAAACAACAACAACAACAATAATTTAAATATCCATTATTTAGAATCTGTTCAGGATCGTCGATAACAGCGCGCTCTTTGTTTACAGCGAGAAACTTGGTTCCTTGTTAGGAACTTTTTGTTTTTCCTCCGTCCAGCTTTGTTATCCATTTCAATAGTTGCTTCGTTTAAAACTGCAGCTATTGTGACAGCTTCGTTATATGTACTATCGCAACGCGCGTCACTTGCACATTCAACGCTAAACCAGCCACGCTACTGTCGTTCGTATTTTTCAAATTGTAAAAATATAAATGAATTGCTTCGTTCAAGCTTACATTACAATAAAAGTGGCGACACGTCGAAATAAATTCATTGTTACCATTCTTAGAAAACAATACGCGTTGGTCACTTTCACGGTAAATTATCTTCCCTTGCATTTGGTAATCGGTGTGACCTCCATCATTATATACGTAAACAAATGAATCTTTACGCTTAAGAAAATACAGACAACTTTTATATGATCTCGACGCGACCACCTATCGACGTAGTGCAATCACATCGGATGGTGTGCCGCTGAATACCATGCGACTATAATTTAGCCCTCTATAGCTAACTGTAATTTTTCAGTAACAACGTGGCAAAAGTATTTCGCTCTGTTACTTCTCCTTACGTAATCAAAGACGTCGCAATTTTCAACTTTCGCTGGACATATCAGAGTGAGCTCAATTCTTTCCTTAAATTAAAAAAATAATAATTTACGTGCTGATATTCGGTGGTTTCGAATCATTCAAATTTTCTATAAACTTTTATATTTTTATATAAATTTTATACACGTATACACACATAAAAAGATTGGACCACGAAGTATTAACACGTTCCAGCTGTCACGAATGACAACCGAGACATTCGGGTGCCCGTTTTAGGTGATTCACCCTGTGTATAGCATTCGACGACTTTTTCTTTAACTCCTTCATCAATGCTCTTAATTTATCGCACAATTCATTACATTCGTGTCGTTCGTTATTATTAATAGCTGTTGGTCCAGTGACCGTTTATTTCATGATCAAGTATATTCCGACAGAATTGAGAACCGCTGAGTCGGTTGGTCCTTTCGCCACCGACTATCAAGGAATTAGCCGGGATAATCATTGCGCAATGACACGGGCGAGGGTAAGTTGATACCCGGAACACCATTCGGGAACGGACTACCTGTAGTATAAAGCGCGCCGATGGCGGCCATAATCCGCGAACGATGCGCTCGTAAACAAAGGTCGACAAGAGGACTGCGAAATGTGTTTTGAGGGAACATACCGCGTCCGCCCTCCTTGCGAGCTCCGCTGCCATAGTCTGCGAGCTTTTGACCTTCTTCTAGCTCTCTCTATCTCTCACTCTCTCTCTCTTCTCCCTGTCTCTCTCTCTCTCTCTCTATGCGCGGATAGATAGGATATCAAGAATCTGCATTGGTAACGACGACGTTCGAATAGCCTCTAAAACTGCTCGTCGCCATTGTTACGCAACGTGCCCAGGGTTTCTCAAACATCTTCTTATGTGAACTATTTTGGGGTCCAACAAGTAGGTGCGTTCATGAAGACGACAATTGCGATCGGGTTGGCAAGACTTGGAACATTTCTGTTTGTTCGGTTTAGTGTTACGCAGAGTCAAGCAAAAAGTAATCTAATTAATGATCAACGATTACGACTCGTCAGATATTATAACTAATTTATCGTAATTTATAGCTAATCTCTAATAATTTATCTTTATTTCATAACTAATTTGTAGTAATTTACATCTAATTTATAACTAATTTATAATAATTTTTACAATAACTAACGAGTTATAATCGTTAATCATTGATTAGATTTATTCAAACGTATAATAAATCTCGTATTTATTATTTGTTCAATTTTATGAATCTAATCAAGTCTTCATTTCAATCTGGAAAAATGATTTCGTGATAGTGTTCTTTTCTTTTATATAAACGTTTGAGAACCTTGTGTTAATATAATCTCTAATATAATAATATTTACTAATATGATGTTAAAGTTATACGTAATGACACATACAAATGTGATGATAGAGGCATTGTAATATTAGTAAACAACTATAAAATGTACAGTCTTCACACGACAAGAAAGCACCTCTTTGTTTACATTCCCCCACTTACTAGCTGCGGAAGTGTGTCAGCTAGTAAGAGGGGGAATATGGAAACACAAAGGTGCCTACTCGTCACGCGAGGACTGTATGAACTAAATTGTATTATGCCCGTATTCATGGATCGTTAACAACATTTTGTATTTCATTTCATCAGCATATTGTAATTCCAAAAAATCGGACTAGTCCAACCGCAAAGTGAAATTTTACCGCCGAGTTCACATTTTTCACTGTGTTCTTTCACACAATCCAACAAACACCATCATCGAGTCCAGAATTTTTTGGAAAACAAAGTGTTCGAATGGAATAATTTTTAAGCAACGTAACTTTTCGATGGTCCAATAATAAATCATAGAAAACGACAATCATCCGATCATCCACATAAGTAAATTACTTCAGCGGCCATTGGAATTTGAAAGTAACCCGCAACTCGTACATCGAAAATCTACTTGGACGATTGTTATTAAAATGTTTGAGAAACTGTGAGCACGTGTAAGAACCCGAGACGATGATTGCGCAGAGAGTTATTAACCATTTTAGAGAGAGCCAGCAATAAGGGTAAAATGGCGTTTCAACAGGCGCTTGCTCTTCGCTGGAGGCGGAAGCGTAATTCCCACCGCGTATAGTCGGATCAAAATTAAATGGCCGTTCGAGACCAATGACATTTTTCTGATTAGGTCTCGCTCTTTCTCTGATATCGAATCACTGGAAAGCAACAATCAACTGCACAATATAAAAACTCCAAATTCAGGCGAACAGATAAATATATTTTTTTCTATCGGCATCGATGACTGCCATGTCAAAAAAATTAATTTTATAATTTAAGTGAAAATTAATTTTCGCTATAATATTATATTATCGAATATAATCAATTTGATCTGCCACTCTTGATTCCATTGACTAAATTACTTCGATTAATCAATTAAGCCAGAAAATTTCAATGAATTGTCAAATAACAATTGAATTGCAGAACTTCGCAGAAAATAAAATATTAAAAAATAAAAATTAAAATAAAAATTACTCGTCTCAATTGCAAGAAATTCCATCGATTCGAATAACCTGGGATGAATTCTAATGAATTCTTCCGAAGTTTGTACTACAGTAGAAAATCCGCGGTCCAACCAGCAATAAAAGTTACGTCTACTATAACATTTACAAAGAATTACGAACCAATTCGGATGGTAATCTAGTCAATGTAATTTATTAGCGAACTCTCTTGGCGAGATGATCCAGAAAAGAAGTTCGCATTTCGGTGGAAAAGTGGTCTTCGCGAACGGACATAATTCGATCCGACTATAACAACACGATGAAATATTGGATGCGAGGCTTAACAAGGGTATCGAAGATCTTCGAAGTGATGTCTTATTTTTCATAACGGAATAGTAGAGGAAGTATACTCACAAGATGAGAATCTCTTGTAGTGAACGTGATTGGGTCTGCCGCCTTCAGACAGCGAAACTCTATTTTGCCCCAGGCGTCGATACCGACGGTTTCGGCTTTCGTTGCCTCGATCACCTCCATTTTGAATCCTTCCGTAGCGAATTCAATCTGCAAGCGTCAAAGAAAACATGCAAAAATTGTTATTTTTTTTTTAGGGAACAGTTCCGGGAAGCTTTCAACTCCCGCAAGAATCCATTTCGATTCTTGGAAAATCGTGCGCTTCGCAAATTTTTTGCAACACCGCACGAACTTTCTGTTTTTATCGTCACGTTTGTACGATATCTTGAATTGCTTTCTTTCTTTTTAACCCTTAAATGCATATTGTTGCCAATTGTCTACATTCCAGTTCCACTTAATTTTATTCAAAAACCTGAGTATGTGACTTGACATTACTTTTGGCGAGTAAGTTATATGTTTTTTGACATTTGAATGTGGTGGGTGATAACTTCCAGGTTGCAGAGGATTTTCACGGACTGAGTGCATCAAATGCAAGGTTGCTTTGTGTCACAACAAAAATCGCAATTGCTTTGCTGCATTTCATTTATAAATAATGTGAAAATTCCTATACTAATAGATAATATAAATACATGACCATTTGTTTACGTCTACAATAATTTTAGTAATAAACGCATATCGTTGCCAAAAGTCTACATACAACTTTTTTTCAAAATAAATACTCAATATTATTACCTAGATTTTTTTATTTA